GTTAGTTTTTATGGGTTATGTAGTTGTAACTAATAACCAAGTAGTGTACCTCTTCTCTGAGCATTTTTGGCTAGAGACTTTGTTAAGCTTGTGTAGCAGATAAGTCTTGCATGCTAAAATACATGAGAAGATGTGTTTTTTCCTATATTTTGTATGATATTTGTCTTTTATGGAGTTTTGCTTTTTTTATCAATAAACACCAGTTAGAATATATTTTCTGGCTGGATTTCTTTGGGGAACAAGATATGGACATTGCATTTTGTAAATCCTTCATGCTGATGTGTATATTTCCTGGGCATACTTTCCTGGAAGTATTGCTGCACTCTGCACAACAGGAGTATTGCTGCACTCTGCTCAACAGGGCACAAGTTTGAAACAACCCACCATGGAATCACTTTGGCCTGTATTGAGAGAGTAGGTTGAAATAAGCCTTCTCTTGCAGTACTGGAAAATTCTCTTTGGTGTGCCTTGACATACTGGGTGGCTAAAATGCCTGTGGGCTTTCTCAAGACTGCCTAGCCTGGAAGCACTTCACCTAGGACTAAGGAAGGACACTGAGATGAGCTTCTCCTCCGGCACTGGCCTAACATTTGAGGACACCCAAATCATTATGTTGAGGCAAATCTGATGGCCACTTTACTATGAAAAAGCAGCAACCCTTCACACAGGCCTGATAGAATGCTGTTTATTTTTACTTCAGTAGGTGACCAGTATATAGGAAACCTAAACCCCTGCTCATGCCTTTTCAGGGCAATTCCATGGGCAAGGATTCAGTTACCATCATTTCCAAGCAATTGAGTGATTGTAGCTTCTTTAGGACACCAGTCTGGCATGCATAACCAAGATCTGGGTGGCCTCTGAGGGGGTAGTTCCCGTCTCAGAGATATGCCCACCTGGATTTCAGGTTTTGCATCAGGTAAGACCCTGGGGGAGGTCAAGCGTGAGTCATGGAGGGATCTTCAAGGCTTTGCTCTGCAGATAACTGGATGTGAGACCCTCTGGCTTAAGTTGGGCTTTTAGGAACAGTTGGAATAGCTGCTGGTGTACTGCCCTCCCTGCTGCTAAACATTATTCCTACTTGAGCTGCTGGATTCTGTTGCTATGTTGGTGGTGGAATCCCTGAGGCTGATGGTCCTTGAAGACTTTAACTTGCCACCTGGTGGCATTGAGTCCAGGGTGGCTCAGGAGTTCATGGCCTCCACAGTAACTATATACCTGCTCCAAATAATAGAGGGCCCAAAGCATACCAGGGATCATATGCTAGATCTTGTTTTTTGTCTTGGGGAAGTTGCATTGTGATCTGGCATTGGAGGATATCATCAGCCTGTTGTCATGGACAAATCATGTCTGGTTGCTCTCTGGGTCACAGGGGCCACCCCCACCCATACCCCCCACAGGGAAACAGAGCCTGTTAGATTAGCTGGCCCCAGGAGACTGATGGACCCTGTTATGCAAGTGAAGCTGTTGATGTACTGACCCAGTGACTGGAGGCTATTCGGGTCTGGATGGGGAGGAATAGGAATAAGCTTGATCCTGACAAGACTAAGTGGCTGTCTCTGTTCAGCCCCTGTGAGGCAGGAATGTTTCCACCGCTGGTCCTAGATAAGGTTGCACTTCCTCATTCAAGACTGGTGCGCAACTTGGGGGTCCACCTGGTCTCACAGCTACTGCACAAAAAGCAGGTGGCAGCTGGACACTTCCAGTAGGGGACTAATGGTGACTTGACCAATTCCTTTGGTTGGGGAATTGATGCCACAGCTGTGGGGGCTGAGGCAGGATCCCTGTAGCCTGAAGAATTCTCCAGATGTAAAAGAGAATCCATGAAATCAACCCAGATGCTTTCTCGACAGATGTTTCTTGTGCGGAGACCCCGAAGCAGAAGACTTTGTGATTGACTTGCGATGAGTGGCTGGGAGATGGGGCTTTTCCATCTTGTTCAAGGCTGTGGCATAGCCGAAATTTAGGACACTAAAACCAACCTCCCCATTTCTAAAACACATTTTAAATGGTTTATTACTCTTGCAGATGAAGAGAGGCTTTTTTTGG